AGTCTCTTGACGTGGCTGCTACGTTTCTGCCAATTTATCCAGTCCGGTGGCCGCAAAGTTTGTGACGAGAAATACGTAACTGGTAAGTATCTCAGCTGCTCAGCAATAATAACAATCACACATGGCCACCAGCGTGCAACGGCCCACTTAAAAATTCTGATTTTTAATTGAAATTAAGGCATATTAAAAGCCCATGTATTTATGAAATGTTATGTGGCCTTGAATGTTCTGTAAAAGGCTTAAGATAAATGAAATACTTGTGTATGGGTGGGTTTTCCTTAAAATAGATGTGCACCACGTTTAGTCTTAATTTTGAGGGCATTATTAGTATGCACATGGCTTTGAATCAAAATCGTTATTGTTATAATTTTTATAGAATCTAGATTTTAAGAGTTTAATTTTGGAATGATTTTTTGCGGTAAAATGGCGTGACTTGCAATTTTGCAGATGTTTCATATCTAAATGTGTATTACGTAATTCGGCGGAGTTTTAATAACATCACGCATGGTTACCTTCAATACGGATGTTTTTTAAATATTTGAATATTAATTTGCTTACATTTAACATTTCCTGGATTTATCTTCAGTATTAGTAAGAGCTTGTGTCGAACGGCGTAAAGGAGATAAGGAGCAAGAGGGAATACTAAGCACAAAATTGTTACCATATAGTTAAAATAATGTACGCTAATTTTACTAATTTAAATCCGTTTTAAATATGTAAGGCTTCATTAGCAATATATAAGCGTTCTTCAAAGAAATTTAATTAATTTTTAATGTACTTACCAAAAATACTCGACAAATATGTCGCAATATTTTGAAGTTTTGATTATTTTAAATCAAGCAAAATTTTAAGAATTTCCTTATTCAGGCCACGGAAATTACTATTTTTGTGTGTTTGTAATAAAAATTTTTTAAAAAAAACATTCTCGCTGCAATACTTTATAGAATATTAAGCCTTTTTTCGTTGGTGTAGATAAGACTAGTTTCATCTACAATATTATCGTATGAAAATATTTTTGAAAGTACCGTGATATGTTTTGATACGATAATATTAATGTACTTTTCATTATATATATATATTTATAAATTTATTGTGTTTTGCATATAGTATGAATGTAATATTGGCTTAAGTTTAATATACTATCTTTTGAAGGGTTGCATTTTTTGTTTTCAAGTAATTATTTATATCTTTCTGCTATCAATAAACAAATAATGGTCAAATAAGATGTTTTATAGAAGTTAAAATAATTCAAAGTTTTGCATGTCATGTTGTTTATTGGAATTGTTGTCATTGTCAAAAATAATTTGCAAAATGATCAAAATCGAGTTATATTCAAAGCAACTAAGTAAAATTTAACACTTACAAAAATGTTTAAAAAAAAAATTTTTTTTATAAATATTTTTTAAAGTTAAGGCACCGAAGCTCTAATTATTTTAAATATATTTAGTATTTTAATTGCATATTTCAGTTGCTTTTATTGTGTAAAGCATATAAATTTTATATTTTTGAAAAGGTCTTATATGGTATTTTAAAACATGGTAAATATTGAAAAAAATAATTGAAATTTGCATTTTATCTTGACATTTAGACTTTTATCATAACATTAAAAAAGCACTTGGAACATTTTAATTAAAAATCAGTTCCTTAAATTATTTTTTAAATTCTAAAGAGCCTAAGTGAGTTTTTAAGCATGAAATATTTTCTTTTTTAATGTATTAAAAGTTTGAACCAAAATTATGTAGTGTTATGAAAATATGAAGTGGTTGGTTCAGACTTTGTTATAACTAAAATATCTATGTGTTATATGAAAAATGTATCAATTTTTGAAGAAAAATTTTGTGTTAAAAATATTTTAACATTAGTTTATACTTTGTATCTGAGGAATATATTTTGTTCACTTTTGGAAAAACATTTTTTTTTGTATGAATGTTTTCTATTGACTTTTTATTTAAAGCTTTTCTATAAAGTAAGGTTTGGAACACTCCCTAACCTTTCATATTAAAAACTGAATCTAAACAATTATTTTCTATAATTTTAAGAATTTGATTAAAATACGCTGGACTTGATTACGATGAATATCTGCTTCTTTTAGAACTTGATATTGTGAAATGATTCTATAAAACATTGGAAATTAAACTTGATGCAATTCAAACAAGTTCTTCCTTCATCAAGAGATGTATATTGAACTAGATGATTTTTTTTACATCTAATTTAAATTTGTTAATTTATTTAAAATGTATTTTAAATAATTTTTTAAATTGATGTTTTTGTAGATGTAGAATTTCTATAGAATTTTTACTTGATCTCACTGTTGCAATTCTTTCCAATTTTAACTAAAGCATGAATATTTTGAGTGTTATTTCAGTTTTGGGAAAAATTTCTAAACAGATTAATTAATAAAACAAATGGGATGCTATTTATGTAACCAATTTGTGTATTTTTGGTCTAGTATAGATGCAAACTGCTTATAAATAAATTTGCCATTTTTGGAAAAAAATTACTGAAATAGGATTTAACATGTTATTTTGCTGAATAATTTTAACACACTTTTGAATGAAATTAATAAGCTCACTATTTGCTTTCCTTGTAGATATACTTATTTTAGCTTGGAAATGATACTAGTTATGATGATTCCATTAATGAACTTGAGTGAAATGATTGGTGCTTGCTGCAACCAAGAGCCAATAATTTCATTGACCAACAATCATTCATGATATTCTAAAGTAACTAGTAAACACATTTTTTTTAAATCGTATTGTTTAACTGCAGATTTTGTTTTGGCAGAAATAGTTGTGATGGGATAATATACTACTGTTGTTTTGGACCTTGCGTATTATACAGAGGCCATTATATAAGAGATCATGGGTGATGACGACTTTTCTGAATTGCTGCTAACTTAAGCATTGGTGATATTATCAATCTACATTTTTTTCTACGTTAAATTTCATTTGATATTGACATCAAGACCTAGAGATAAGCACAAAGGTTCTGTAAAAAGAATTTTAGATCAGAAGAACAAAGTATCACACAAGTACCAAAGTTACTCCAATAACAATGACATTACATCTTGTTTGAAAGCTATCTCAGTAAATTTTTCTAAAATTTAATAAAACTTTTTTGCCTCCTCATTTGTAGACTTCTTTCAGATGTTTATCATTGTAACAAAAAAAAATAGTATAACGAAGAAAGAAAAGTTGCAGCGAAGCTGACAATGTTATGAATTAAGCACTATTTTCTAGTATTGGCAATCAATATAAATTGCAATATTTAAAAATAGTGCCACCTGTTAAAATATTAGCCAATATAAGCTAGAATTTAATGTTTTCTGTGTTGTTTTTAGCTTCAGGGGGTCCTGTAACTGATAACGATTGCTTTTTTTTAATAAAAATTACTTTAACATATTTTTTACAGATTTTTAAATTTATACCTTAGTAAGAATTATATCATTAAGTTTTTATTTGTTGAAATCTTTTTTTGTTGAAGTTTATCAAAAAAAATTTTATGAGGATTTTCTACAAAACATTGATAATTTTTAGTGTTTAAATCTAGCTCTCTTAGAGGGAAGCTTAATATATTTCAATACTTAGTATGTTTAAAATGTTAAGAAAAAAAGTTATAGCTCCAAATTTCCATACATTTCTATATTTTTCATTAAAGCTATTTTTCTTTATTAAAAAGCCAGGTTTGATTCAAATATTTCACTTAAATGTTAATTCAAATATCTGTTATAACTGCTTAGGCAAGTGTGTATTCAATCAGGTTTTAATGAAAGATTGGACTGTTGTCACACGCACATTTAGAGTTGCAAGTTTTTCTACTATTTTCAAGTCATGACGAAAATTCAAATCCTGATTTCAGTAGAATTGGGGAGACTGCATATGTGTTAAACTCGCTTGTTTTTTAAACTGTGGGGAAGTTAAAAATAAGATATAAGCTTGGATTTTTCCTCACCATTTGATTATTCTGAAGTTTTGCTAGCATCTTAATGGTAGACATACTGATATTAGCTCACATAGTAGGTTGGCTTCATTTGGTTTCGCACACATATTGGCAAGTACTCTGCGAAAAGAAACTAAGTAAAGATGCATTTAAAATTAAATTTTGAAGTTTTATGCTGTTTTTATTCAAATTTTTTTCTTTCAATTTGTTCTTATAATCTTTTTTTATTGCTGACTTTTCCTTCCCTGTTTTCTCTCGGAAGTATTCATTAGAGAAGAAAGCAGGCAGTGTGTTTTCTGATTTAATTGAGAATTCCTTTCCTGTATTACTAGTTTCATATTTGTAATTCAAAAATTGATTTTTTCTTATTTGGGGTCCTTCTTATCCCCAATCTTTTTGTTTTAATGTCTTTCTAGAATTAGTTTCTGGACTAAATTCCTTTTTCTGAGTTTTACGCACAATGTTTAAATAATTTAAACCAAACAAGTAACACAAAAAAAAATTTTGAAGTCAATTTCTACTTAGGTTAACAAAAAGAAAAACTTTATTTTAGTTATTTTTGATTAAATAGTTACAATTAATATAAATATGTATATACATTAAGCCCAGTGGCTGAGTGGTTAGTGCATCATGCTTCCACACTGCAGGTCAGAGGTTTAAACTCTGGGCTGGGGAAGGTTGACTCAGACCTTCATCCCTTCAGTGGGTCGATAAATGAGTACCAAGCTTGCTTAGAGACTAAACACTGAGGGTTTTCTCTTCAGACTGACCACCTGACCGGAACATCTGCTCATGCACCTCAGGGCCCAAGGTCACGTATACTGAGTTGGGCACAGTAGGCCTTGGCCCTCATGGGCTGTTGCGCCACTAAGTTATGAACACATATGACAGAATCACAATATTAAGTGACGAAATAGAAAGCGATTTTCCTTGCAATTTTCCATTTTCCTTTCTGTATATGGTGTTGGACTATTTTTGTTTGTTGCTATTTATTCATTAATTAAATTTAATTCTAATAAATTAGTATAGTAAAAAAGAAATCACATTCTCAGAAATTAGGCCATCTCGGGTGGGATTCGAACACACAACCATTGGATTAGAAGTCCAAAGTGCTATCCATTGCACTACAGAGACACAAAGATTTTCCTTTCTATATATGCTGTTGGGCTATTCTTGTTACTATTTATTCCTTTTTTAATTTAGTTAATGAATTAATATTTGAAAAAACTGCACATTAACATCAAGGGTCATCCACTTCAAGTTAAAAAATGTATTTGAACTTGTGGGATGAATAGAAAGTATTTTATTAACGATTGAAAATTTGAACCAAATTTGTATGTAAATATATATAGGGAAAGAGTGAACTAATAGTAGAATTTGAACAAATGTCTTCTTCCATTAGCGTTTTAAGGCATTGATTAATTGGGTCTTGTCTTGGGCTTGTAAAGGGCTTCGTTTTGTTCTTGACTCAGCCTCAATAAGATAGTGATCTGAATAATATTTTCAACAGTTCTTCCTGCACATATTCTCCAAAAAACTGGTAATTTTGAACTATATGCCAGCTGGCAAGACTGCAATACTCTGTTATGTCCGTTGCCCTGTCTTGGCCTAAGCCTACTACCATACATCATGATTTGGGCGAAAGGCTGTAGTCGGTTGATTCGATTTATGAGATTGTCTCGTACATTTATTTGTTATGAATTACTGTTTGTACAAGTATTTGACAGCATATGCTATATATTGATGTTTCAAAGGACTGCAGGAGGAGCTTACTTTTATATAGGGCCCAGGGCTTCAAGAAGTTTTCAGACATCATGGCTTTCAATCAAGTCAGATGTGCAGTTTGAACTGGGGAGACGAGAAAAATTTCAAGCCTTATGTTACACCACTGAAGAATGTGTATATTTTAATAGTTTTAGATTTTCAGTCTGCATAATTTATTTGATCTTACAAGAAATTTAAAATATTTTTTTTTGTGTTATGTCTGTAATGAAACATATCAGCTTTAAATATTCAGTTTCATTTAATTATTAATTAGTTTGTATCATTTTCCAAAAAAAAAGTATTGATTGCAATAGTCCTGGTAATGTTGGTTTTTCATTACTTTATACCATAATGTTACCCTGTAGTTTTTTTCTGTAAGAGAGATAATAGACCAGTGTGTCTCCTTGTAAGTAGCCACAATGAAAGATTAATTTAAGGGATTCATATTAGATATATTTTATGAACATTCAGTTCTAGCAGCAATAATTTTAGTTAAGTGAAAATTAATGGTAGTAAACTGTAGTGTTTCTAAATTAATCATAAATCTGATTTTTTGTAGAATTAGAATAAATATTAAATAAAGACCTTTCAGCCCTTTCTTGTATATTTACCACAATATTGTTTATTGTGGTTAATTTCAAGACTGGATTAAAAGTGACTAATTAAAGTATTTCAAGACTGGATTCCAAATTAGTGTATTAGTGATAATCTTTCAATTTTCTCAATTTTATGCCTTAAATATTGTCTACAAAGCCCAAAAAAAATTTGATTTAATTCGTAATAAGAAAGTTTTTACAAGATGTATTTTTCTAAAACATAGTTTGCCTGCTGTGACTGATTGAAGAACTGAATTGGACTGATTTAAAAACTTGTTATTAGTATTATTGTAAATAAAAAAATTAGCAATATTTTGCTTTTTCAAAGTACTTTCTTTCATTGTTCATTGCATTACTTTACTTAAAGTACTTGCATATTTTGATAAAATAACTAACTATTTTCATATATTTAAAAACTATTGCATAGTATTTAGTTTTTGTATCTCTAAAGTGTTTAAACAATAAAGTCTCTCAATTATTGATATTAATTCAAATTATGAGTAACTACTGTATAATTTTATTCAGTTTCTATATTTTTGAGAATTATGTATTGCAGACATAAGTGTATTTGAGTTGTAGACAAACATTCCATTTATTATTTCTTAAGTTGAAGACGTTCCTGAAAACCTCTTTGAATAAAAAATTCAGTATTACAATGGAATTTGCATTTTTTTTTTTTTTTTTTAAGAAATGGGTGGTCAGCTGCTGTACTGGATAGGTGACCACTTTTGAAATTTGGGTTCAGGTTGTGCCCATTTTTGCTTTCTCATATATTAGTCTTAAGTTCGATAATATTTTAGTTAAGTTTTATTTTATTTTGTTAATTTTCCTTTTATCACAAAAAAAAAAAAAAAATGTCCTTTTAATTGTTTTTACCAGTGTGTACATTGTCTCTGAATTATATAATTGAGGCAAAGTTGAATAGGTTCTGTATGTTTATTTAAACTGTGTGTGTGTTGCTTGTTTTTGCAAAGTATCTCCTTAATTACATTTTGATTAAAAAAATATTATATATTTTTGTTATTTCTTAATGACACTCAAACATGGAGATTTTGATGAGATATTTATTTTTATTTACTTTTGTATGCACACTGGTACCTCAAAAGTTAACATATTTTCATGAATAAAATAGTAGCAGAAAATATTTTCATGAATAAAATAGTAGCAGAAAATATTAATAAATAATAGCAGAATGGAGTGAAATGACATATTTAGTTAGGAAGTTTTTACAAATGAAAGAAGACGTTACAAATTAATTAGCTATTAAAATAGATGAAGATTGTACAAATTTATTGCTTGATTTTGTGCAAATAAAAAGCAAGAGATTCATCTATCCCAGTGAGGAAAGAAAATAGACCACTGAAGTTGGTTATTAGAAAAAACCATTTGTCCCTTCGATTGTTTTCATCAGTGTGCTTTGATTCTGCAAAATATTTAATTGAAAGAGACCCTTTTACAAATCCGAATTTGATTGGTAATTTTAGGGGAAAAAATATTATCCTACTTATTGTGGATGAATTCAAAATCTGGATATCCTTCAAACATTGTTTTATTTGTGGCAGATCATTCTGCAGTAGTGCAGGGAGAAAAATGGAGTTATTACCTATTTAATAAGAGGGGAGAACTTAATCAAGTTTGGCTCGTGTCGTTTAATAAATCTGGCATCGGAAAAAAGTGGCGCTTCTTTCTCTTTTTCTAAAGTTAATGAGATGCTATCTAAATTTTTTAAAGCTCTCAAAAACTTTTAAAGTATTTGATGCTATAGTTTAGTTGTAGCTTTGAAGACTTCTAACTTAACCATTAACTTCTGTCTTATTTTTTATAAAAACATCTTGACTTCAAAGTCATTACTTTCATGTTGTTACGTTATATATCCTTCTAAATTCACCTTAGTTTGTATGCGATTTTATAAATGAAGTCGATTGAAAAGTTTCGTATAAGTACTTTTCTCATCAGAGTATCTTTATCGCTAAATTTTAAAAGTATTCGTATATCATGCTTTATGAAATTTAATTAGACCCCTTGCTATGTTTTTCGGTTTTGGGTAAAATTACGCGGACCGTCGCCAAAAGCCCTCGTGTTGCTATTCAGTGCGACGTTAATATTCACTCACTCACTCACTCGGTTTTGGGTAGACCCTTGCGAACCTAATATAGAATTTTTGCAAATGTATCTAACTTAAATGTTTTTTTGATAGCTGGTATGGAGCTACTTTTAAAGGTTTAGATTTCTAACTGTGGTGAGGTATAGTGTTTAAAACTGATGAAACACACCTTAATCAAATTTAAATTTAATCAATACATGAAATAACTGATCAACAAACAAATTTTTATAATGGGAGGGATGAATCTGGTGTTACAAATTTTCAACATTTGCATCAATCTTGTCAGGTTTAAACCAAAATCTCCTCTGTTAATTGTCTTTTTGGGCCGCGGTAGGTAGCCTAGTTTCAAGGTAACGGTCTCGTGGTCTGCGTGTCATGAGTACGAGCCTAGTACCACTGAAGACCCGCCGTGTAGGGGAGAGGGATACAAGTTAAATCTGGCGAAGCACTAACTTCCTCCTGGTGGCATGGTGTGGAAGTTAAGAGGGGGGGGGCAGCTCAGGTGTCATCGTCGTCACTTGACCATGATTCAAAATGACGATTTTCGTCGCCAAAAGCCCTCGTGTTGAATAGAGCTACGTTAAGATTAACTCCCACTCACCCAGTCTTTTTCTTTCTTGCTTTCTATTTTGGAGATGGGCTACCGCGCTAAAACTTCTTCTCACAAGGAGAAGCACAATTAAAAACTTTTTCGCAATATTCCTTATTTCGGGAAAATAACAAGTATGCTTTTTTTAAAGCCAAAATTCCTGACACCCGTTTCTAAACATTACTTGCAGATCTCCGTTATTGACTATTGCGATCAGTTTCTTTTGTAATATGAAATTTGTTTTTCATTGTTATTAATATGAATTAATTGCCTACTGTGGTAATAAACCAAGTCAAAGCATTCTCAAACTTAGTTTCAAAATCTGAATAAAGGACATGTTGAACATAGGTTAAAACGTTATCTTCCTGGCATATTGTCTATGGCCAATTGAGAAACTGGGGAAATTCGTGTCGTCCAATGTTATTCTCCTTTAGCTTAATTCTGGCAAGAAACACTGAAATGATAGTCCTTGTCTTAATAAAATTTATGCTGTCAACTTGTTACTGTTAAATAGGTAAAATCTGGTTTCCATTTGATTAAATTTTCTTTTAAAATTAAGTCCCTACTCCTAAAATTAGATTGAGCGGGCGCGAGCGCTTATACCCCAAAAGCCCCGATCTGGCTTATTGAGAGCTACTACAGTAGACTCCCATTTATTCCCCATGGAAACCCCATTTTTTTGCCACTGTGTGTGTGCGTGACGTGGACCTCTTGCAGGTTCGACATAGACCCCTGGGGTTCGATGTATGAGAAACTCTTATCCATGATTTAGAAATTGCGTTTAAACACATTTTTTGATATTTAGAGTCACCTGAATTATTGAATAAACATAAAAAGTTGTCTTAAGCATAGTACTACAATAAAAAATTATTTAAACGTATTTACTTTATTAAAAAATGAAAGAATCACACATATTTTCAAAACATTTTCCTTTTATATAAAATGCTTCTAGAATAATAATAATATTTTGCTTTTATATTGATAAGACTTATATATATATATATATAGAGTCTCTAGACTAGAGTTTTTGAAAAATGTACGTTATTTTTAGAGTTATAATCAATTAAAGAATTGACCGATG